ATCACACTGGCCGTAGCGGCCACTTGGGGAGGTAAACCAACGGCAAAAGGAAGACCTTGCTCTCTGTCTCTCTCTCTCACTGTCTAACTCTGCCTGTCAAAAAAAAAAAAAAAAAAAAAGAGAAACATCTGCATCAACTTGACATTGCTGTGACACCCACAAAACTAGGATGGATGAGCTCATCTCCCTGTCTAGGGGGTGGACCAGTGTGGGCGTTGTGGGCTCTGTGTGATGTCAGCTGGGGAATAGCCCTGCATGGCGAAATCAAAAGGGAATGTTTTGAAAGAACAGCAGCGGATCATTGATCACAGGTACTTGAGAATCACTGGGAAGCCTGCAGGAAAGCGCTCTGAGCAAAACTTCCAGAAATGACCCCTAAGCCACGTAGCAGGCAGTTGCTGCCTCTGCCCCCATGAGGGAGCTGCCCCTGGAGGTAGGGTCCCTGCTCCAGACGTGGGTTTCAGAACCGTCCGCCTGTGAAGCCAGCCACACCAGCAAAGCAGGTGTCTCGGGTAGCTCCTATCCCTGCATCCGGGCATATGGGCATTGTTTTGCTTTCCAGTCCCTGCTGCCAAGGAAGACTCCCTGGAAGAAGGCTAGGGTGAATGTCCACTGAACGGAGCCACGGTGTCCATTAGCTGAGTGTAGACTTCTGCCTCCACGGGACCGATACCCTTCGCTCCTGGAAGTCACGTGCCCCTGGACCACAAATGTTTGCCCTTGTTGTCACATTACCTAGAACAGCCTCCCTGAAGTTCTGCTGGTGGGGGAGAGAGCCAGGAACAGAAATGAACCTGCTTTCCCAGAATGCTCCCCTCTGTTCCCTAAAGCCCTCTCCAATGTGAGAGCCTGAAGCATAGAGATTAAGAGCCCAGCTGTGGAGTCAGACTCACCAGCTGTGCAGCTTTGAGTAAGTTGCTTAACCTCTCTCGGCCTCATTTTTGCCATATGTGAGATGGCGTTAACAAGAACACCTGCCTGAGCGTGCCAGGAGATGCCGCTGCCTCCCAGGGTGCACACGGGCAGAAAGCCGGAATCGGGAGTGCAGCCGGGTCTCCAACCCTGGCACTTGAAGTAGTGTCTTAGCCACCGCACCAAACGCCCGCCCCAGGTCACCCCTCCCCCCACCCCTGGGACACACCTCTGGGAAATCAGAAACACTGGGAGGGGTGTGTGCACATATTTACTAAGCTACTTAAAAAAACAGGAGTGGCCTTGGTCAAATACTGACATTAGAAGGTATTTTTAATGAAATGACTGGCAAAAGTCCAAGAAGTACTGACGGTGTTCTGGGTCCACTCACCAACTGTTCAGCTTTTCATTTTGCAAGATCAAAAACTCTGCTTTCCCTCCTGCTCCCCTCTGCCTGGCACAGAGCAGGGAATGAGTGAAGACGTCTGTCTGTGCTCTGATACATACGCTAGCCTTTCCAAGGGCAGAGATCGGAGCCTGTACCTTAAATTCTGGAGGAAACGAGCTGTGGAACCAATTCTCCGGAGGGAAAGGCAGTCACACATAGGATGGGCCCTGTGCAAGGAACCTTATTGGGGGAAGGGTCTTGGCAGACATAATTAAATTAAGACACTTCAATTGAGATGAGGTCACTGGGATTAGCCAGGTGGGCCCCACGTCCAGTGACAGGTGTCCTTCTAAGGGGCAGAGAGGGGCAGAGCAGGTCATGCGCTCTTGCTCATATAGTCTCTGGATGCCATAGCAGGTTAAATGGTGTCCCCTAAGAAAGATACGTTTGTATCCTCTGTGCCTGGGACTTCATTCAGCAGTAGTCTTTTTTTTTTTTTTTTAATTAAAATATTTCTTTTGACAGGCAGAGTTAGACAGTGAGAGACAGAGAGACAGAGAGAAAGGTCTTCCTTCCGTTGGTTCACCCCCCAAGTGGCCGCTACGGCCGGTGTGCTGTGCCGATCTGAAGCCAGGATCCAGGTGCCTCTTCCTGGTCTCCCATGCGGGTGTAGGGCCCAAGGACCCGGGCCATCCACCAGCAGTAGAGTCTTTGCAGAGGTAACGAGTTAAGTTGAGGGCACGCTGGACTGGAGGGGCCCTCCGTTCAAGATGGCTGGTAGGAAAAAGGAAAGGGAGACTTGGATAGAGACCCAGCCACACACGCAGCGAAGAGGCTGTGTCGAGAGAGAGGCAGGGACTGCAGTGCCAGGCACGGGCAGCCAGGAAAAGGCAAGGGAGGGTCCTCTGGAGCCTATGGAGGGAGAGCGGCTGGCACCTCGCCCTTGAACTTCCAGCCTCAGGAGCTGCCAGAGTAAATTTCTTGCTTATTTTTTTTAAAGATTTATTTGAAAGGGAGAGTTATCGAGAGAGAGAGAGAGCTCTTCCACCCGCTGGTTAAACTTCCCAAATGGCCACAACGGCTGAAGCCAGGAGCCCAGAACTCCATCCGGGTCTCCCACGTGGGTGGCAGGGGCCCAAGCACTTGGGCCATCCTCTGCTGTTTTCCTAGGGGCATTAGCAGGGAGCTGGATTGGAAGTGGAGCAGCCGGGACTCAAACCAGCACTCATATGGGATGTTGGCATCGCAGGTGGTGGTTTAACCTTCTGTGTGCCTCAGTGCCGGCCCCACATTCTGGTTGTCTTAGGCCACCCAGTCACTGGCCCCAGGAGGCACACGCAGCTGACGTAGAACCACAGCAGCAGACCCGAGGAGACAGCCCACGTGCCTAAAATGCCGACTCCGGCTCTGGCGAGCAGGCTGTGTCAGCCTGAGATCCTGAGTGTGGCTCAGCTGGACGTCACACACTTCTGCGTCTGCCCAAGCCCCCTGCCAGCCTCACTCCCAGCTTGTAGGCAAGGAGAGGTTAGGAAATGCATCCAGCTGGAGTCAGCTGTCTTTTCAAAACGCCACACACGCCCCTGTCCTCTTCCAGTCACAGCATCTTGACTTCCCTTGGGGGACCCCTGCACCCACAGTCCCCATAACACGGGCAGGGCTGCCCCCACGTCCTGAATTAGTCAGCTCGGGCCGTGCTCACAAACACCAGCTCTGTAGACTGAGTGGCAGCGTCCACACCGGGAGCCGATCTCCTAGCTCTGCAGGCTGAGAGCCAGAGGTCAAGGTCGGGCGTGGTCTGGCTGCCGGTGAGGATGGGACTCTTCCTGGTTGGACGATGGCCACCTTCTCACCGTGACCTCACCTGCCCTTTCCTGGGTGCCTGTGAAGAGGGATGGCTCGCTCCCCCTCCTCATATAAGACCACCAAGCCTACTGGATTAGGATCCACACGGCCCCCCACCAGACCTTTTTTAACCTTAATTAACTCCTAAAAGCCCGCCCTCCAAATACACCACACTGGGGATTAGGGCTTCAACATAGGAACCTGGGGAGGACACAGCCCAAATGAGGCCCATCAGCGCATCCTCTCCATTGGTCAGTTTCAGCGTAGACCCCAAGGCCATCTGAAGGCCTAGCTATGTGAGACTCGAGCAGCCAGGGCACGTGGACAGGAACCGCCTCGGAGTACAGAGCACTCAGGAGAGCAGAGCCGGGCAGTAGCAACACAGCAGCACCCAGATCCAGCCACACCTGAAACCGCATGCCCAAACCCTTCTCAGTTAACTTGAAGCAATCCACCCTTTTTACTTCCACAAGTCCGTTTTTTGCTGTTTTTCCGTCACCTGTAACCCAAAGAGTCCGAATACGAGGGTGCTTCAAAACATTCACGGGGGAAAAAAAATGGAATTACAAGAAAAGGTTGTTCTGGTGTGATCTCCTGGAAGTAGATAATCCCAGAGTGTCACACGGGGGCCACCCTCGGAGTCCCGATTCTTCGAAGGCAGCTGGGTCTTGATTATTTTTTAAATAAAAGACTTATCTATTTATTATTTGAAAGGCAGAGTTACAGAGTTACAGAGAGGCAGAGAGAGAGAGAGAGAGAGCCTTCCATCCATCGGTTCACTCCACAAATGGCCAGGAGCCAGGAGCGTCTTCCCACTCTCCCACATGGGTGCAGGGGCTCAAGGTCTTGGACCATCTTCTGCTGCTTTCCCAGGCCCGTCAGCAGGGAGCTGGATCAGAAATGTAGCAGCTGGAATTTGAACCCACGCCCATATGGGATGCCGGCCCTGCGAGCAGAGGTTTTACCCACTATGTGCAGCTCTTGCGATATTTTTTTTTAACAAACACATTTTTAAAAATTTTCCCCCAGAAACCTTCTATTTAAGGAATACAAAATTCATGCATTTCATAAACACAGCTTTAGAAATAAAGTGATTCTTCCCAGCGTACCCACCCTCCTGCCCATCTTCCTCCTCCCTCTCCTATTCCCATTCTAATTTTTTTTACTAAGATCTATATTAACTTTATACACATATGATTCACTCCATACTAAGAGTTCAACAAGTTGTATGAATAAAAAAGAACCTTTTCCTCAACAGTGGAGAGAGGGCTGTTCAAAGTCACTGCATCTCCAAGTGTCCATTTCACTTTTTTTTTTTTTTTTTTTTTTGACAGGCAGAGTGGACAGTGAGAGAGAGAGAGACAGAGAGAAAGGTCTTCCTTTGCCGTTGGTTCACCCTCCAATGGCCGCCGCCGGCGCACCGCGCTGATCCCACGGCAGGAGCCAGGTACTTCTCCTGGTCTCCCATGCGGGTGCAGGGCCCAAGCACTTGGGCCATCCTCCCCTGCACTCCCTGGCCATAGCAGAGAGCTGGCCTGGAAGAGGGGCAACCGGGACAGAATCCGGCACCCCGACCGGGACTAGAACCCGGTGTGCCGGCGCCGCAAGGCCCATTTCACTTCTATAGATTACCTTTTAGGTGCTCTATTAATCACAGACCAGGGAGAATATATGGTATTTTTCTTTGGGGACTGGCTTAGTTCACTAAGCATGCTGTTTTCCAGTTTTTAAAAATGCATTTACCCTTGCTCTCCTCAAACGGCAGTGGAAGCGAGGAAGGCACAGGACAGTGAACAAAGGGGGTTACTTAGTCAATCAGGGGGCACGCCCCGGCAAGCAGAAAACAAAACAGGACTCCCGGGACTGAGGTCCCAAGGATGGCCCTGACCAGCTCGCGGCACGGCGAGCAAGGGCCAGGGCAGGGTTTCCCTTCCTGGGAGCCCCCTGACATCCCTGGAGCCTGGCTGCAAGGCACAGCGCCGCTAAGGCTGCGAGCCCTTGCGCAGGCCTGGGCCGGGTGCCTCACCAGCGAGTGAGGAAACAGGGTAGCACGGAGCACGCTGGACGTGGGGGTGGCGCGCAGCCCTCTGCACCACCGCTTCCCCTGGCCTTTCCCCAGGCAGGCTCCTCCTCTCGCAGGCCTCCTCGCACTGGGGCCCCCGCTGCTCTAATTCGCTTTTTTACGGAGCAGGAAGCCTCAGGAAGGGGCAGCCGCCGAGTCTGCCGCGTCTTCTGCCATGGCCCCAGCACCCGGCCTCGAGCGCGCGGTAGGTGCTCTGGGAACCCGGGGACCCACCCCTGTCCCTTCCAAGGCCGGGCACCCAGTAGAGGCTCGGGGAAGGCTGATTTGAGGCCAAGGACGGCTGCAGAAGGCACGGGCCACTTCGGCGCCAGGGGCCGCCGCGCCACCACCCCCTTCTGCTTTTTGGTCTCCCGGGCTAACAACGTGGAGAGAGCGGCGCAGCCCCGGAGCCTCCCCGGACGAGGCCGCCGCCCCGGAACCGGGGCCGGGCTCGTCGTGCCTCCGGGGAGGGAGGACGGGGGAGGCCCGCGGGAGGCCGCTTCCAGGCGCGTCCCAAAGTCCCTCCCGCCGCCTGGCGTCGCTTTAAGGCGGAGGCCCGGCGGGGGCCGCCCCCGCGGCGCGCTCGGCTCCAGACTTCGGCATTTCCTCCCCGCTAGCTGGCGTGGCCTCGCCTCCCCTCGGAAGAGGAAACTCGCGGGGCTCGGGTAACGGGATCCAGCGAGCAGGAGAGCGGCCGGAGAGCCGGGAGGGCCGCCCGCGGTAGGAGGCGAGGCGGGTCGGGCCGGGCCAGAAGCTGGCCGAGGACAGCGCGGCGCAGGGCGACACAGCGCGCCGCGGGCGCAGGGCGCGGCCCGGAGCCGGGGAGTGCAGGGCGGGCCGCAGCTGGAAGGAAAACTTGAGCTGGGAGAGGAGGCCGAGCCGGAGGGCGGCTTCCCCCGGCCCTGCGAGGGGGGAGCCGCCGCGGAGGCCGAGGAGACGGGGACAGCGGGGCCGCCCGGGCTCTGCGCGCATGCTGGGCCGGGGGCGCCGCCGGGGCTGGCGCCCTGGGCTGCTCGGCCGCCGCGGCCCCGGGCGCCCGGGATGTCGGTGCACTATACCCTCAATCTGCGCGTCTTCTGGCCCCTGGTGACTGGCCTGTGCACCGCCCTCGTGTGCCTCTACCATGTCCTGCGGAGCGGCGGGGGCGCCCCGGCCGAACCCCCCGACGGCGCGGACAGCGGCTTCCCGCTGCTCAAGGCCACCGTGCTGCTCCTGTTGGGCTACGTCCTCCTACGCTGTCGCCACGCCGTGCGGCAGCGCTTCCTGCCCGGGTCGTCGCGCGTGGCCGGCCACTCCACCTTCTCCCCAAGACCCTTCGGAGAGCCGGGCCTCGGCGTCCTGCTGGAGAGTTACTACGAGCACGAGGTGCGCCTGTCGCCGCACGTGCTGGGTCACAGCAAGGCGCACGTGAGCCGGATCGTGGGCGAGCTGGTGCGCGCTGGCCGTGCCCGGGGGTCCCCTGGCCCCATCCCCGGAGGAGCGCTGGCCTTGGCCTTTCGCGGAGACTTCATCCAGGTGGGCAGCGCCTACGAGCAGCACAAGATCCGCCGGCCCGACGGCTTCGACGTGCTGGTGCCGCTGCGCCTGCCGCCGCTGGTGGCGCTGGAGCCGCGGAGCCTGGGCCAGGAGCCGGAGCTGGCCCCGGCCTTCCGAGGCTGCTTCGTGTGCGCTCTCAAGGCTCCACCGTCACCGTCGGGGCCCCCAGGGAACCAGTGGCTCCGAGACTGCAAACCGTTCTCGGATGGCTTCTGCGTGGACGTGCGTGGGCGGCGCCACCTCTCCGCCACGCTGGTGCTGCGCTGGTTCCAGGCGCACCTGCAGCGCTCTCTGGCCACGGTGCGCTACAGCCTGGAGGGGCGCTGTCGGGTCAGCCTGACCCCGGGAGGCCCGGAGCAGCCGCCCACCCTGCACATCCTGCCCTGCCGCACCGACTACGGCTGCTGCCGTCTCTCCATGGCGGTGCGTCTCATCCCCGCCGTCCACTTGGGAGACGGGGTTTTCCTCGTGGCGCCGCCTCCGCCACCTTTGCCGGTCGGGCCCCTGTCGGAGCTCCCGGGAGGCCTGCGCGCCGAGGCGCTGTGGGGCGTGAACACAGCCCGGCAGGAGCAGAAGTTGCTGAGCTGGCTGCAGGAACGGGCCCCTCCAGGTGCCTGCTACCTCAAGTGCCTGCAGCTGCTTAAGGCCGTGCGCGACCTGGGCACCCGCGGGCTGGACCCGATGGCCAAAGCTCAGTGGGAGCGCGTCCTGTCCTCGTATGCGCTCAAGACGGTGCTGCTGGCGGTGCTGCTGCGAGAGGGGCCTCCTGCCAAGGGCTGGGACGACGCGCACCTGGGCGAGTGCTTGGAGGAGCTGGTGCAATTTCTGAGGGATTGCTTGCTGCGACGCCAGACGCTCTTCCACTGTGTCCTGGGCCCGGGCGGCGCGGCCAGCGACGTGGGCCCCCTGCCCAAGGTCCTGCGCGAAGCCGCCCCGGTTGACCTCCTGGCCGCTTTCGACAGGCGCACCCGGGAACTCGCGGCGGCGCGCTTGCTGTCCACGTGGCGAAGGTTGCCCCAGCTGCTGCGGGCCTATGGGGGGCCCCGCTACCTCGCCAGGTGCCCCCCACCCCGGAGCCAGCGCACCCTGGGGTTCCCAGAAGGTGAACCGTAAGCCCCGAGGACAGCCCCCACGTGACCCAGCGCCCTTGGGACCGCTTGCAGCCGCTGGGGGTGGGGTGATGGGGAAACCGCTTCTGGCCCAAGGAGCTGCAGAAGGGGCTGGGAGAGTTTTGGAGGATGCCACAGGCTTTGGGTGGCTTAACCATCACCCCCGGCTCCACCATCACTAACACAGATATAGACTCATCACACCTGCCCCGGCGTCGGGGGCGAGCTGTGGAAGGTGATACAGAGTGGACCCAGATGTTGGTCTGTGGATGAAGATTGCTAACGCAGCTTGTTAGGGAAGTCGGGTGGAGGAAGCCCAAGCTAGCTGCAGACAGGACCAAATGTGTAATAATAACAACAACAAAACTAATGTTTTTTGAGATGATTCCTTGCTAGGTACTGGGTTCCTGATTTTTTTTTTTTTATTTAAATCTTTATCCACAGCTGGAATGGAAGTTCTTTTCCAGCGGTGAATGTTCCAAGGAATATAATTTCCTCTGTCCAAGTGAATATTCCTGTACTTTTTTCAACGGTGCCACCTCGGGTGCTTGGCAGGCCCGTGGACGATGAAGTCGCACGTGCCGCGCGGCTGTCGGGGGCCGATGGAGAAGCATGCAGGGCGTGCAGGCTCCCATGTTGTAATTACCGGCAGCAGGAGTGTTGCATCTGAAAGGGGGCCAGGTGCATTGATTATGAAGTGTGTGGCCATGGCAAGCGGCCAGCCTGACAGCTTCCTATCCCTCCAGGCCATAAGCGGACCGATGCCGAAGTCGGTCAACACCCATCGGCTGAGCAGGTCCTGTAGGAGCCGGCCACAGTGTGGCCACAGCAAGGCGCATGTTGCAGACAACACCTGCGAGGGCAGACAGCATGCTGGTTCTGGAGAAAGAGGTGTTTCAGCCATTGTCTATAAAGGTGTTTTTGTAGGGCATGCTTCTGGCTGGAGACGGAAACCTCTGGTTTGGTTTTGTTTAGCAGAGCCCTTGGGGAAGAGGTTTCTCCCTGAGTTTTAGTAGCAAAGGAAGAGGAAGTGCCTGCTGCCGGGCCTCCGTGCTCAGTGATGGTTCGTGGTCGCGAGGGTGTCTCCCCTGCACCAGAAACCCGTATGCACTCAGCCCAGGTCTTGCAAAACGTCTCCCTTAGAGAGCTCGGTAGCTGAGGCTCTGTGCTTGCCCATCAGTCACTCCCTGGTGCGTCAGCGGAGTAAATAAGTGGGGTGAGAACGCGAACACAGCTCTGGGTTGCCCATGCTGTCTTTTGCGTGTAAATGTCACCGGGCTGAGTGCATTTTGCAGCTAGGAGGGGTCGGTGGGGAAATTCCTTGTCCTTCCAGATTGCTGATGGCTCTCGTTTGTGGTTTAAGATCAGAATGGCCCAGAATTGTAGCCCGAGTCCAGAATGTGGTTTAAGTTCTTCAGCCTGTCTGAGCATTGTACGTTGGAATTTTTTCCCTCTTTGTAAACAAAGACATGTACTTCCTTTGACTCTCAAAGGTAAAAGTTGGAAGGTAGAAATAGTTCGGTGAACAGGGCCATTGTTGAGTTTCTGAGCTATCTTGAGGGGACATCCTAAACCTTTCTTTAGGGGACTCGCTTGGCCACCGTGGGAAATCATCGTGCATCGGCGATCGATAAGGAAGCCTTCTCATCAGAGCTGCACAGTCCGGTGTGCAACTGTGGACTGAAAGGGAAACACCTGCAAATGTGCTGGCTCCTGGAGGTCATTTTGGGCGTGGTTCCTGTGGGCTCCATCAAGGTCACGCCTAGCTCAGGGGTCACTGTTAGGTCACAAGGTACCGCACTGAGCAAAGCTGTCTGCCAGCCTCTTGCAAAGATTAAAAACTGCACAGCATTATTTTTAACTTTTTAAAATAAGTGCCAAAGTAGATCGTATATATATGTGTGTATATATATTTCTATGCTCAGCCACGACTCCTCCTGCAGTTATTAAGTCTACAGCATTGGGGGGAGAATGAGGCTGTTAGAGAGATTATAAAGCTTTGAAAGCTGAATTTTCCAAATATTTCTAGCTGAGTTGATGGTTTCTTTTTTATCTTAATATTTTGAAGCATAAGTCTGGTAACATACTGTTATCGTAGTTTATTATTGTTATTATTATTATTATTATTGTTTCAGGTTAATTACCCAAAGCCTCATCCATCCTCGAGATCTTTAAGTTTTATTTTTTTAAATTTAAAATTTTAATTATGTTAAATTAATGGGCATTGTGTTTGTGATTTTTAAAAATGTTAATGTTTTATTTAAATGCCATGCTGAGCAATTGTTCTCTGTACATGGTAACCAAAATGTAGGGATTTCGACCAATTTTGGTCCATGCGTAGCCATCCAAAATGTGTACCACGCACAAATGAATAAAACAGCCATTAACCAGGCTGCCCAAGGCACTTAAATTAAGCTCAACTCTGTTTTGTATGCGGGCTCCATCATTTGAAATGTACACATTTTTGGTGTAGGATTGGTACTGGGGATGCATATATGCAAATATCCCCATACAAAAAGGTTCAACAGCAGCCACCAAAAAGGTTAGCTGTTGGCGCTGGTGCCCAGAGAAAGATGTTTTGGGGAAGATGACTCAGGCGAGCGGCGGCCAGACGGCGCTCAGCGCCTCCCACCCGGCGGGCTTGGGAGCCTTCCTGGAGCTCTGGTGTGGGCTGGGAGATGGAGTTGGTTTTTTGGTTGTGTGTTTTTTGTTTTTTTGGTTTTTTTTTTTTTTTTTTTTGAAATGAAACTGAAGCTGAAAGAAAGGCGGCTTCAGGAAGGAGGACTTGAGATGGAAGTGAAAGGGAGAGAGAGAAGGGATCCTGCGAGGGTGTGAGAGAGGTTTGGGTTAGGAAACGCGTTCTTCAGTGTGTGCTATTTCCAGCCAGGGGTCGCAAACTCAGCAGCCTACAGAAAAGGCGGGGGGAGGGGGGTTATGGGGGGAGTGGACGGTGCCCACTTTCCAGGGGCAGCCCTCATCCAGCTCCATGCAGAGCAAGGGAGACAAAGGGATAGAAACTACATATTTTTTTAAAGTCAAATTTCCTGATTGTTCAACAAATAATTTAAAAATATCCAAAACCCTATGTGGGCCAGATGAAAGCCTGCAGGCCACCAGTTTGCGACCCCTGCCTTATACAGTGAACTTGACCCCCAAGTTGTATGCGGTTATCTTTTGTGTTGGATACGGGGGTGTTATATATCGTGGGGGGATAGTTCAGGTCTTCTCTATCCCTCAGACTTAAGCTTTATTGTAGAAACAAACCAAAAAAAAAAAAAAAATTAACCCAGCCACAGATAACACTTAACTCAGAGTTCCCGGGAGGACCCCTGATCCCGGAGCCGTTCTCCGAGTGGGACCCTGTGTCAGGTCTCGTCCCCTTCCTGGTGGCTCGGGGCAGCCGGCTTTGCTGATGGCTTGCAGATGACTCATCAGGAGGGCTTGCAGGAGAACTCATTTCGCTGCGCTTTGTTCCTAGAGTAAAATTAATTGTCATCATTATATTTTTTGTGAGTGGTGTTCGAGCCTGTGCGTCGACGATGACGTGACAGCCGGCTCCTGTGACCTCGGCACAGCAGTGCTGAGGCTTTGAGCCGAGTGTCTCAGACCTGTGCCACTGTCCCTGCCAAGGACACGGCTCTGATCCGATGCTTGGAATGTCTGGATCCCATTGAAACGGGCATCCCAGCGCCGGAGGAGTTAACCAAACAACACCCCCAAAGCCGCTCGTTCTGTGCCGTGCCCTTGACCTTGGAGAGGTCTTTCTCTCCTCGCTCGTCTCCACATGAAGGAAAATTTATTTCTCCCTCTCCAGTGATGGAGAAAATGAGCCTCATTCGCGAACATTTCCAGAGGGAAACAGTTCCGTGTTATCGTTGTGGTGCTGGTTAATTTTTTTTTTCTGATTGCCTGTCTGATACTTAGACATGACTGGTCTTTAATATCTATGTAGCACATGGTTGAGTGGGACTAAAGCAAGTATACGTTGTGAGAGGCTGAGGACTATGCAATCATATATATATATATATATAATCTGGTTTTTGAAGTATCAGAGATGGAGTGTTTTAGCATTTTTTGCTATAAAAGTGCCTTGATTCAATCGCTTCAGACATTCCTCCTATTTTGTTGTAACCTTGAATGTGTCTTCTGACCCCAAACTGTGTACTATGAAGCATTCGGACTGCGGCAGTCCAAGCAGAGGTTGTGTTCCAATAGCAGAGACCAAAGAGTTCATCAGATCCGGTTTAGTTGCTACAGCCGTGTGATTCCAGTGCCGCTGAATCGCACCACATTTCCGTGGTCCACACCATCGAGGCCTGCCATGCGTGTTCTCTTTCAGGTTGGAGTGAATTTGCACTTTTTAATCAGAGGGGTCATTTGGGGACCTTGTTCTTTATATATATATATTATTTTTTTGCTTTATTAATAAAGAAACTTGTAGAAAGCTCTGGACTGAATGGTGACTTGGGGGAGGGTGCTCGTTTTCTCGGAGGGCAGCTCTGCCCGCCCTGGTTTGTGCTTCTTTGCACAAACCTCACCTGCGTGTATGGGAGGCCTTTGGCCGTGCGGGAAGGCTGCAGGGGACCGTGGGATGCCAGGTCATTGGCTGCAGGTGTGCAGCCTGGAATCCTGCCTACTACAGCCTCCTGCCCCTGCCCTTCCTCTCTACGCGTCCCCTTCTTACCCCTTCTCTGCCCCCAACACAATTCAAGTCTTGACCTGTGGCTCGTTTCTGACTCAAGAATTAGGCCCCGTAAATTTCTTAGCCCCTTAGGCCCTCTCCAAATGGTAAACACGGCTAATAAGAAATCCCATCAGGCTTAGCGTGGGATCGAATCTTGGCAGTGGATGAACTGTTCAGAGCCTCAGGGCCAGGCGGCCGCTGAGGGACACCTGCAGCCCCGGGACACTGGTGCAGGGGAGCAGCTGTGTTTTTTTGTTTCCTTTTCAGCGAGCAGCAGCTCCCTGGGGTACTGGGGACACACACGGAGGTGGCCGAGGCAGGCATGACCTTTCTCCTGTGCTGTTGCACACTGGGAGGGGCAGCTGGCTAAAGAAGTGCTGGTTTGCGATGTGGTGGGGGCTGGGCTGGGGAGGGCTCATGAGAGGCACCTCCTGCAGCTTGGGGACTTCAGGGAGGGCTGCCCAGAGAAGCCATGCCTAAGTAGGCAGGGATTGGCCACGTGAAGGGAGCGGCAGGGCAAGAACGTACTTAAGGCAGAGGTGGAAGCGCTCCAGTGGGCTGGAAAGGGAGCGAGTCCCGGGCAGGAGGGCTGGGACAGGGCACAGGGGGTCTGCGAGCCTGAGCTCCTCCCACTGGAGTGAGTGAGGCGCAAGGAGTCCAATCAGAATTCAGCAGGTCTGGGGTGGGGCCTGTGATGCTAATAAGCTCCTAGGCAGTGGGGAGGTCACTGTTTCTGGGGCCACACACAAAAACACACACACATACACACACGGCTGCAAACCCCGCTGAGGGCGTGGCCCGGTGCTGAGGGCACTGGGGAGGAACAGAGTGTCCCCTGTGAATTTGGCCCACTCTGGCTGCCATGTGAAGAATGGAGGAAGCAGAGGCTGGCTGGCGTCCCCCCCCCCCCCCCCCCAGTATTTATTTTTGGCAACAAAGCTTTGCTGGGACACAGCCTTACCCATTCATTTACATCCTGCTCTGGGAAGCTTTCCTACTATGTGGCAGGATTGAGTCATTGTAATACAGACCCAGTGGCCCTCACAGCTGGAGACCTTGACTCTCTGCCGCTTTATACGATCAGTTGGCCAACCTTGGAGCAAGGCTGAGCTAACCGGATGCTGCGGTGGTCCAGGCCTGGAGGCGCCAGAGCTGTAGGCACAGAACAATGCCGAGACCTGTCTTCCAACCTTGCATCCTGCCCTTCCCACCCCTGTGTATCTCTGCAGGCTGCTCAGTGCTCCCTGAAGCTGTAGTCCCACATCCGGGAAAATGAGATTCATCCCGGAAGTTCATCCGGAATCAGGGTGGAGAATTAGATGAGATTTAGCACGCCATGGGCTTGGCGTCTGTGAACCAGCCCCAGGTGTGCGTTGGTGGACAAGGAGCGGGATTTTCACGTAGTCTGCAGCCTCCCCTGGCTGCCTGGGCAGCTCATTCCTGCTCCATGGTGGGGCCTGTCGTGTGCCCCCAGCCATCTGCCTGCCTGCCTGCCACCCAGCTTCTTTTAGTCTCTTTCCTTCCACGTTGGAAGGTTTTGCTCTGGGTACCGTGGACCACCCCTCCTCCAGCCCTTCCCCTACTCCCACCCTTTGCAAAGTGAATCCGGTCAAGGAGGGCAGACTTTTCTCCTGCCCCGGACATAGAATGTGCCAGAAGGAACAGGAGGCTAGGTACTGGCCCAGGCCTCAAGAGGTCCTGCATGCTTCTTATTGCTCTCTTGGAAGGCTCCCGCCACCGCGTGAACAGCTGGCCTGCTGGAGGGTGGGCAACCACGTGGCTCAGCTGACCAACCTAGTCTGGCCTCCCTGTCCCTCGCTGGCCCTACAACTGACCTGGGTGCTGATGGAAACTCTTGGGTGAGCCCAGCCAAGGTCAGCCAAGTCTGGCCCAGGTCAGCAGAACCACCCAGTTGGCCCACAGACGCTAAGCAAAAGTAGACAGTGTTTTCAATCCCAAGCCAGCGGCCACTTACTGTGGAGTAGTTACTGGCTCATCTGGATGTACTGTGCTTTGAATTGGTCCCTCAATGTTTGTATGTTGGAAACTTAACTCCCCAGGGTGAGAGTGTGACGGGGTGGGACCAGGCTGAAGCTGGGAGCCAGGTCTCTTTTATGGGTGTCAGGGATCTAGCTACTTCAACTGTCACGTGCTTCCTCCCAGGGTCTGCATTAGCAGGAAGCTGGAGTTGGGACCCAGAGCTGGAACCCAAACCCAGGCACTCGGAGTGGGGTGTGGATGTCTCATCTCAGCGTCTCAGCTTCTAGGTCAAACACCAGACTTCTGCACAGGTGCTCGGCTGCCGCTCCACACCGCCTGCCCCACAGTGGATCCTGGCTTCCCTCGGCAGCTTGGTCTACTGCTGGCGTAGTAGATAGTAGCAGCCACTATCGCTGTGCAGTGTTTGCACAGCTGCTGGGATGCGTGCCTGCACCCACCTTGGTCTTGTAAAGACAGATGGGAGCTGGAACAGTGCCAGACCTGAGTGACGTGCTGCTGCAAGTCTCAGAGGCAGTGACTCGGGAAGCTAACATGGCCGTGCCTCAGTCACGCTCACGGGTTTAAGCTGGTAGGCACGCGTCAAGTGCAAAGGAAAGGAACAGCAATTCAGTGCAAGTGGGAGGTTGCATTGGTTAGGAACACAATTGCAATTTGGCCACAACTTGTAAAAACCTACCGGAAGTGACTTCAACAAATAGAGGTGTCTTTTATCAGGCAGCCGGAGGGCTGGAGGTTCGTAGGCAGCAGCCAGGGATGAATCAGGACCCGGGCATCGCTTTGCAATGTCATCTCAGGTATTTGTGCCTTTGTGCTTCTCAGGTCAGGACCCTGCCATGGATTCTGCATTTCCAGACACTCAGCTTTGTCTGAAGGAAGCACTAAAGACAATGGATTTGGGAGCTCAGCGGACCTCCTCTACATCTCATTGGCCAGGATGGTGACATGTGACCATTTCCTTGCTGCAAGGGAAGCTGGGAAAGAGAGTCTGGTACCTGACCGACAGCAACCCTGAGCAAGCTGTGAAGGAAGAGTGGGCGTTAGCGGGTAGGTGACAGTTGGCCTCAGAAGTGCGAGGGACAAATAGCAGAAGAGTATGCCAAGGGGCTGGCATTGTGGCACAGCAACAATGCAGGCATCTCATCCGGGAGCACTGGTTCAAGTCCCAGCTCCTTCACTTCCAACCCAGCTCCCTGCTAATGTGCCTGGGAAAGTGCCTGGACCCCTGCCACCCATGTGGGAGACCCGGATGGAATTCCACGCTCCTGGCTCTGGCCTGGACTAGCGCTGGCCATTGCAGTCATTTGGGGAAGGAACCAGTGAATGGAAGCTCGCTCGCGTGCTCTCTCTCTCTCTCTCACATCTTCCCTCCCCAACCCCCATAACTCTGCCCTTCAAATACATAAATAAATCTTTTCTTAATAAAAGAAGATTGTGTCAGGAAGTGAGGGGGAATTAGAGAATTATAATGCCATGATTATTCATTTATACTTGCCTAAGCCTTAGCATATAGCAAATGCTCCGTAATTATTAGACCTGAAGTCCCAGTTCCATCATTCCAAGGCTGCACTCCTTTGGGAGAGTCAGTTAATTCATGTGGACGTCAGCCTCCTCGTCTGCAAAACAGGGGTGCCAATCCTTCCTGTGATGGCTTCAATGGGGGAATCTAAGAACCACACACGTGTGGTGGAGTGGCTGGGTTCCTGGGATGGAGAAGCTGGGTTCGCTTCGAAGCAGGGTGCCGGCGGCTTTGGAAGGATGGGAGAGCGAATCCCTGTGGCCAGAGGTCGTTCTTGGGCACCCCGCTCAGTCTCCCTGCCACCGGACTCCCTTCCCCCAGGAGGCATGAACGAGTCTGTGGTTGTGAATGTTATGTGAGTCCCCGGAAGGGAGGACTTCCAGGGACAGGATCAACCACCCCATATGTCTTTTATTTTTTTTCTTCTCCTTCTAGTGATGTCATCCACTTACAAGATTCCCGCCTGCTGTAATTTCCATTGCTGGACTTCCGGGCAGAAAGAATGGGCTAATAGTTCTCAATCCCAGCCCATAATGATCTGCTGGTGCCTTCATAAAAATGTCCATGTTGGAGCCCCACCTGGGGCCTCAGAGCAGAGCTTCTGAGCGTATGGCCCAGGCCTGGGCACTGCTCTGCGTGTGGCCAGGGAGAGCACCTGTGGTCTCTGCACCAGGTGTGTGCAGCCTCGCTGCGGGGTGTGGGCGGGGACAGATGGGTGAAGTGGAGGTGGAAGAAAATCTCAGGGCAGGGCTCTCTGAGAAACACAAGTGGGAAAAGCCCTGCTCAGCAGGCACGGGGTTCAATTCCACTTCCAGTTCCCCTTCTTCTAGTTCCAAGAACTACGGTTGAAAGCAGAAATCAGAGTGATCCTGAAACCCAAAGCCAAGCCTCTGTGTTCAGAGGGGGTGAGGCCCTCACTCTTAGCCTTCAGACTGAAGGGAACCTGTGAGGGAACTTCCAAAGGTTCATGGAATATAGAATTAAAAGGGAAGTTCGGGTGCAAAAAAATTGAAATCTGTGCCTTGGTTTCTTGTAATATGCACATTTTTAAAAAAATTTATTTATTGGGGGGGGGAGCACTCTCATTCTCTGGATCACTCCCCAAATACGCAAAAGGGCCAGGGTTGGGTCCGACCACAGTCAGGAGCCAGAAACTCAATCCAAGTCTCCCCTGTGGGCGGCAGGGGCCTGAGTACTTCAGCCATCCCCTGCGGCCTCTCCGGAGCTGCATCTGCAGGAGCAGGGCTCAGACTGGAACCCAGGCAGGAGCAGGGCTCAGACTGGAGCCCAGGCAGGAGCAGGGCTCAGACTGGAACCCAGGCAGGAGCAGGGCTCAGACTGGAACCCAGGCGCTGTGATCCGGGATGCAGGCATACAGAGCAGTATCTTAATGACCAAGTCAAGTGGCTGCCCCCTGGTATGCGTTTTCAAAGACCCCTCGCATGCATGGATTTCAATTCTTTCTTGCACCAAAATAAACATTTTTAAAATCCCACCTCCTGTGACCTTTTGCTGTCTTCCCCAAACACTGGCTCTCTTCAGGCCTACACAACGGTTTTGCCCACCTTGGGTTTCCATCTCCGTCTCCACTCATCTTCAGCTGGCACTTAAAAAAATTAAAGTCCATGGAGACACCTTCCAGTGATGTGGGGAGTGAGAACCTGGGAGTCCCACTGCCTGCCAGACTCAGGCAAAAAGCTTTTAAGGACTTTATCTCTTCAAAGATGGTTATCTTCGCGGTTTATGTAATCATCAGTCTCCTCGGATTAGGAGCTGTGCCTCTGATGAGGGGCTGTGGAGCCTTATCAAATGAAAGCATTAAAACATTCCAGCCATGGAGACCAACGGCTGGCACTTGGAGAGGGGAAGCCTTCAGGATCTTGCACGACCAAAAAACTGCTAGAAACACTGCCGTATATTTTACGCAATGTGCCATGAGTTTTTTTAAAATAATTTTTATTTCTTTGAAAGGCAGAGAGACAGAGGGAGAAATAGAGCAAAAAAGAAAGAGATCTCCCATCTCCTGGTACACATCCCAAATGGCCACAATGGCCAGGCCCAAGCCAGAAGCCCAGAGCTCCATCACGGTTTCCCATGTGGGTGATGGGGCCCCAGTCCTTAGGCCATCGTGGGCTGCCTTCCCAGGAGCACTAGCAGGGAAGCTGGATCAGAAGCCCAGCAGCCAGGACTGGAACTGGAGCTCTGACATGGGACAAGGGCATCACAAGTAGTGACTTAACACGCTGCACCACAACACCAGCCCCCAGCGATGATTCTTTTTTCTCTGATAACTACCATCAGCCCTCTGCATCTGTGGGTTCCCCATTCATCAAGTTAACCAAGCACAGATCCAAGAAATTGCATCTGTGGGGCTGGCACTGTGGCGCAGCGGGTTAAAGCCCTGGCCTGAAGTGCCGGCATCCCATGTGGGCGCCGGTTCGAGTCCCAGCTGCTCCTCTTCCGATCCAGCTCTCTGCTATGGCCTGGGAAAGCAGCAGAAGATGGCCCACGTCCTTGGGCCCCTGCATCCATGTGGGAGACCCGGAGGAAACTCCTAGCTCCTGGCTTTGGATCGGCGCAGCTCCGGCCATTGCGGCCATCTGGGGAGTGAACCAACAGATGGAAGACCTCTCTCTCTGTCTCTACCTCTCTCTGTAACTCTGTCTTAAAAAAAAAAAAAAAGAAATTGCATCTGTACTGAACATGCATGGACTGTGTTTTCTTGTCACCATTGCCTAAATAATGCAGGGTAACATCTGTTTACAAAGCACCTACTTTGCATTAGGTAGTCTAAATAATTGAGAAGGGACTGAACACTATGCCGACGGACAGGTGCATCTGCAGAGCTGGGTGTCCACAGGGGTCCTGGAGGATACTGGGGGACAACTGGGTTTTCAAATCCCCTAATCAGTAGGGAGCTCCACTTGCCAAGTCTTCCAAGTGGATTTGGGCTTCCTCTCACCGAAACCCAGACCCGAGAGCCCTTCTCTTCTGTGGTGAACACTTCCTGATGAAGATCCCCCTGCCCTGCTCTGTCTCCCAGCCCTCCTGCAGTTAGGCAGGGCCACAGGACCAGCCCTGAGCAATAGGCCGGGAGCATGGCCCTGCAGAGACAGTGTGCAGGTGGTGACGTCGTGTCTGAAGTTGGAACTGAGTCACCACAAAGCAAGGTTGCACTGGAGAGTCACTGCCATTCAGAGACCTTGGCCTCTGAAACATTACCAGGGTAGCACAGCCCAGCCTGTCCTATGGAATGCACCCGGAGGCTGAAAGGGGCTCCAATCAGCATAGTCCCAGTTGGGAAGTCCTCAATGGAAGCCGGTAAATAGGCACTGAGTGCCGGCTACATGTCCGCCGACTCTGACCCCTCTACCAGCGAGAGGAGACAGCCCCTCGCCAAATAAGCGAGGGCCGAGCACCCAACCGAGGTGAACATTTTGAAGGCAATAAACCAGTTTCTTTTCTTTTTAAAATGTATTGGAAAGACAGAAAGTCAAAGACACCGAGATCTTCCATCTGCTGTTGACTCCCCAAATGTTCACAACAGCCAGGGCTGGGCCAGGCCAAAGCCAGGAGCCAGGAACTCCATCCAGATCTCCCACGTGGGTGGCAGGGATCCAGGTATTTGAGTCGTGCCCTGCTGGCTGCTCAGGTACACGTCAGTAGGCAGCTGGAATTGGAAGCCAAGCCAGGACTTGAATCCGGGCACTCGGACAGGGGCCGGGGGCATCATACGTGGCATCTTCCCAGCTGGGCAAATGCAGGCCTAGAAAGAAACCTGTTTCTGTGATGCCGATCCCAGGGGCCTTGTGCAGCCTTGGGGTTAAGGAGGGCTTCTCTGATGTCAGGAAGCACAGCACACCAGCCCGCAGAGGTCAGACTCAGGGGTCATCCACAGAGCGCTTCCTGAAGGCGAGGCTCCGTGCCAAGTGCTGGTCGCACACGATTCTCCCCGGACTGTGCCAACGGCCCCAGGGGTGCCACTGGTACCAGCCCATTTCACAGAGGAGGAGACAGGCTCAGCACGAGGAGGCCTTTTCATTAAGAAGTGCAAACAGGCATTGAGCATTGGAACCCCCAGCTGCCGGCTCTAAAATGAGCACTGGTCACTCACATTCCTAGCCCTTAGAAACCCAGCCAAGAGGTTAGTCATGCAGGAAGTGGCCTCCCGGGTCCGTGGACAGATGTTTATAAATGGCCGGGAAAAGCCACCGCAGCTGGAGGGGACAGAGTTCTCTCCCCGCACCAGCAACTCCTTCCAAGCTCCAGGCTTTGGTTCTCATATTTGTGGCATTCCTCCCCACGTTCCCGTTCCCCCACGCCACCCCTCCCGTAAGTCTGACCTCATCCCTCTCTCAGCAGATATGGAGGCGTGGGCAGCGGGCCCCACAGTAGCTCAGCCACTACCCGTGGCTTCTCTCCAAACCCAGCCCAGATGAAAATGATTAGCAGGGGCCAGCGCTGTGGCACAGTGGATTAAGTCCCAGCCTGCAGCACCGACATCCCATAGGGCAGCCGGTTCAAGTCCTGGCTGCTCCACTTCCAGTCCAGCCCCCAGCTAACGTGCCTGGGAAAGCAGTGGAAGATGGCCCAAGTGCTTGGACCCCTGCACCCACGTGGGGGACCCAGAAGAGGTCCTGGCTTCAGATCAGCTCAGCTCCTGCTGTTGCAGCCATTTGGGGAGTGAAACAGCAGATGGAAGACCTCTGTCTCACTCTCTCTCTGACTCTCCTCCCTTTCTCTAACTCTGCCTTTCAAATAAATAAATAAATCTTAAAAAAAAAAAAAAGAAAGAAAGAAAGAAAACGACTAGCACCCACCAACCCTCTCCGGGCTTTCCAAATGTTTCTCTGGTGTGGCTGTGTTAAAGTGTCAGCTGGCGTGAGCTGTTTGTTCTGTCTTTACTGGACTAACCAAGTCCTCATATGGCTGCATCAACACTCGTTCAGACACACGCTACACACACAGACATGCACACGCACACACACATGCACAGTGCACAGTCACGCACACTCACTCAGCGTTGACCGAGCTGCAGCACAGTCAGCTTACACCATCACCCAGGGGCCAGACCCAGCCTGCAGCCCATTTCTATAAAGTTGTGTGTGTGTGTGTGTAAGATTACTTATTTGAAAGAGTGACAGAGAGAGAGGGAGAAACAGAGAGAAAGAGATCTTCCATCTGCCACTTCACTCCCCAAGTGGCCACAGCAGCAGGTGCTGGGTGGGCCAGGCCAAAGCCAGGAGCCAGGAGCTCCATCCGGGTCTCCCACATGGGTGCAGGGGCCAAGCGCTTGGGTCATCTCCCCCGCTGCTTTCCTAGGCGCACTAGCAGGGAGCTGGATGGGTAATGGAGCAGCTGGGATGCCCGCGCCGCAGGCGGTGGTCTAACCTGCTGCGCCACACCGCCTTCGGTCGTGTTGGAACGCAGCCTCACTCATGCCTTTATGCATTACCTGGCTCTGCTTTGCACTTCCATGGCTGGATCCAGTAGTTTTGATAGTGACCATTATAAAATATGTACTCTCTGGCCCTTTACAGGAAAAGCTGGACACGGGTTAGAATCCTTGATCCAAGTGTTTAAAAACCCTGCGGGATATCAGTTATTACTCCGGAGCTAACCATGCAGCTTCAAACCTACCACCTCTGTTACTATCTCTTGTGATTCTGTGTGTTGACTGGGCTGGGCCGGGCTGGGCAGGGCTGGTCTGGGCGCTTCTGTTCCTCGTGGTGTTGGACTTGAGACCCAGGAGCCTCGGAATTTACTTCCTTATTGAGATGGAGGCGACACCGACCAGAGGTTCTTGAGGGACTTGAGGTGGAAATTGACAAGTGTTGAGTGCCGCTCCCAGATGCGCACGAGGGCCGGTGGGAGGAGCTTCCGTGCACCTGCTGGACAGTCTCAGGCTCTGACTCCTCCTCTGCAGCGCATGGCAGTTTCGTTTGCACCCAGCCAGACGTTCTGCACGGCTGCTTCCTCCCCATACCACACTCAGTGCTGCTCACTGGCGCCTCCCCAGGCAGGCCATGATATTGGTCGTCCTGGGCTATTGTGACCAAGGGTGTGGGTGGGGGAAATCCCTAAAGGGGCAACAGGGGTCTTTTGTGGCTGGACGCTGCATGCTCTTGGATGGGTCTGGAGCTGTGTGGAGTGACCTGGGGTCAGCGATGAGTCCATGCTCTCGTAGGGGCATGGACACATGCATGGGAGGCAGGGGCTTGATTTAGTGAGTCCTGTTTCTGTCCTGTCTCTGAGGGAGTCACTGAGGCCCAGGGTCACCCAGCAGAGCAGCCACTGAGCTGGGGCTAAGCCCTGGATGTGGACAGGGGAGTGAGGGAAAGCTGAGGGCCACCAGTGGCACCTGCACACACACACATCCCAAACCCCACTGCTCCCAACATGTCTGCAGCCTCCGCACACACCCATTCCCCCAGATGCCATAACACCCTCCTAAGGGTGGCCAGCTGTGCTCCTGCCCTAGTGTAGACACCATGACACTTCCAAGTCTCCCAAAAAAGGGACAAACCCAGCTGTACCGTGGAGCCATCAGGGAACTTCCAACAATCCAGACGCTCAGGCCCCAGCTCAGACCAATTGAATCCTTAACCCTTTACCTCTCTGAGCCTCAGCTTCCTCATCTGTAAAATGGGAATGGTACTTTCCTATTGCATGGTTGTGTGGACTCAATAAAATAATGCCTTCAAGGTATCTGGCACAGAATAAAATCAATACTCAATAATAAAGGTGCTAATAATAATAAAGTTGCCCTTTATTGAGGGCTCATTAAGAGGCTGGCCCGATGCTGTGTTCTCTTCAGTCTGTGGGTTGCTGGGACCATACAAGGGGCAGAGTGTTATTGCTTTCACATGAAAGCCAGGTCAGTTTGCAGATAAAGGAACTGCGGTTCGTGATCCTGGCCCTGTTGGATTATGTTCAGAGAGCCAGGCCAAGGAGCCAGTGACCCAGTGAGGTCAGAAACTGCCCCTGGGACTCCAGGATGACATGAGCCAGCCCTGGATGGCTTGTTCAAAATGAAAATAGCCTTCTCATTTGTTTGAGATCACGGACGTTATGCACGCTGACTATAAACAGCTCAAACAGTGCAGACGTGTATGGGAAAGAAAGATCTTCGGACACCCTTGGAACCCGGGCTCAGGTCTCCTTTAGCAACCAGGAGTGGGAGAGAGGGGCTCCTCCCCACCCACCCTTGCCCATGCCTTCAGGACAAACTCAGCGGTTCCCATGACATCATTGCTCTGCCTTGAGGCCGTGGTGCTGGGCACAATGGCAGGATGTGGGCTTTGGAATGAGCAAGCTGACATCAGCCTAGCTGGAAAGGGCTTCGCATGGAGCTGGGACTTAGCCTTGCGAAGGCTCTGGGAGTAACATTTCAGTGCACGTCTCCAGAGCCAGCCCTAGAGCCCTAGAGCGGCTCCTAATGACACCGACTGCACACTGACTCTGCACCAGAAGTCACGCAAAAGGTGGATCAACGCATGGAGTCCTGGCTGCCGCAGCAGTCAGGCGCTGTTACAGCCTTCCTGCGGGAGAGGAAGCAGGCTCAGAATCCTCTGAAGACAAGGGTTCTTGCCAGTGCCATGGCTCACTAGGCTAATCCTCCGCCTTGCGGGGCCGGCACACTGAGTTCTAGTCCCGGTTGGGGAGCCGGATTCTGTCCCGGTTGCTCCTCTTCCAGGCCAGCTCTCTGCTGTGGCCCGAGAGTGCAGTGGAGGATGGCCCAAGTACTTGGGCCCTGCACCCGCATGGGAGACCAGGAGAAGCACCTGGCTCCTGGCTTCGGAGCAGCGTGGTGTGCCAGCCGCAGCGTGCTGGCCGCGGCGGCCATTGGAGGGTGAACCAATGGCAAAAGGAAGACCTTTCTCTTTGTCTCTCCCTCTTTCATTGTTCACTCTGCCTGTAAAAAAAAAAAAAAAAAAAAAGACAAGGGTTCTACAGGGCTGAGAGCCTTGCCCAAGGTCATACCCTAATAAGCAGGTGCTCCAAGAGAAGAGTTCAAGTTCACCTGAAGGGCCTGCCCAGGACATGCAGCATCCCTTGGCCTGGCATAGCCACACTATCTGCACTGCCCACCTGCTGGTCATTTAGAAGCGTCTCAAGTCTGCTAACTTGGTTTCACAGTGCTTGCATTCAAGGAACCCTTATTTTACTTAATAAGCACCTCTGGGTGCCACGGGGGTGCCACGGTCAGCGTGCTGGCAATTCAGAGCTGCCAAAGAGAAGCCATTTTGTTTCCTTGAAGCAAAATGGTGCAAGTTCTTAACTTCAGTAGAATAAAAACAATCACATGCTGATATTGCTACAAATGGTGGTAATCACATCTTCTGTCCATGAGATGATGGAGAGGAAAGAGAAATGCATGCTGTTGTCACCGTCACACCTCGAGCTGCAAGACACAGCCACAGTGTGTGGGAAGGACACTAGATTACAGGGTTGGGTACTTCTAGCGGTTTCCCGTATCCACTGGAGCCTTGGAGCATGGTCAGGGGGATGACTGTGTTGAACCTTTCTCCTTAACCCTGCCATAGATTGAATGTCTGTGTTGCCCCAAATTCGTATGTCAAAACCTAAGTTTTGGAGTGACAGTGTTAGGAGGTGGGGCCTCTGAGAGGGGATTGCTGGTGGGCGGAGCTCCCATGAATGGGATCAG